TCTGTACTGCAGCATGAGAAATTAGGAAAAAAGTACTATATGGTAAATTTTATAGGTATGCTTGTCTTATTCTTTTATCGATAAATTAAGGAAACTAACCAGAAGTAGTAGAATGTACTGTACATATGTGGAGTTTTCAGGTGCACCGATTTCCGACAGGTAAGAATACAGGGGTTGAATATGTTATGTTGAAACAATGCAGGGGCTTCTCCACATCGTTAAATTCAATGTCGCCACGTACAGTTATGCTCTAACGTGCATCTTAATAATAGATCTGCAGTGTAGTTTCCATGACAAAAGGCTCAATCGTAAGGCTTGTCATGTCCAAAGCACACCATTTTTTATACTCCTTTCTATCTATCTAGTTGTCCTGGAATGGCGGTTTCTTAGCGCTCGTTTGAATAGTACGATCGCAAAGAAATTTATATAAGATTTAACCAGTGTGTCTTCTTACGGAATAGCATGAATACCTGTCTCATTTTCGAGCTTGAGGTACCCAAAGTTGAACGGTTATATTCTAGAAGCAACTTCCGTACACGTGATTGAGTTCACTTTTCCAGACAGAGATCCTTTTTGACTATGAAGTGTATTGTTTCCTGGAACAAAAGTACGCTATTGCCACTAGCTTTTGTGTTCGTGGATTATCCCCTGTTACAAGAAACCGCACTTTGGTTACCAAGGCTGTGGTACAACGTTCCTTTGTTTTTTACTGCTATTAAGTACCAGAGATATTCCCATATTGGAAATTCTAAATACACGATCTGAACACATCTCTACGAACCTGAATGTATGAGCATCTGGTGTCGGGAAGGGCTGCTACATACCCTTTCCGAAAGTTCGGTGTCATCACACTACCTACGAACACCAAACAATGTAAGAATGTCGTTCTAATACATTCCGTTCCACCGTGATTTTATGCCGGGCATGGATGTCACGTAATTTACCGAGTTGCTTATTCAAAACCATCTTAATATAATGTACTCAACCCTTTGTAGTATCCACTCTAATTAGAAATTCAGCAGTTAAACTGAATTCTGAACTGATTGAATTGAAGTAAGATATGGACAACAGATATTTCAAAGACAAAATCGCTTTACTTAATCGCAGACAACTAAAAAATAAGCACTTCAGTTTAATCAAGAGACATATTCATAAGATAAAAAAATGGCTACACCATTCCTTAAGTGTCGATAAGTTTATACCACGGAGAATCTGAATCTGAGTCTGACTAGATTGAAATAATCAACTTGTACGTTAATGCTATTTGTCACCCAAGTCAGCTCGACATCCCATTAGCAAAAGCAGAGTATTTAGGTATTTCTAAGCATCTACGCGATCAATGTTACTCGAGAACACGTTAGCATAAATCTAAGGAATTCTTCAGCGCCACATTCCGAGGGAAAACCCAGACATACCAAATACCATTTCTAGCCGGCTATCTGTGCTCTATACATTTAATACGTGCGCCAAACACATGTAAGTGCAAAAAGTTAGCAAATTTTGGTGATCACGGAATAAAGAAAAAAATATACTTAGCCAAATCTAAAAAAATCAAATAGGCAACGAGTACAGTTATTCAAATACACGGTTCTTATGATCCTGCTTAAGAAGATCTTATAAGACATCGTTTCATCAGTTGGGAATTTTCGCTGTTAACAACGCTAAAAATCGGCTTTCGATACCCGTGGTGGGCACAGCACAGATAGCCCACTGTGCAGCTTTGTGCTCAACTTCAAACAAGAAAACAAACAAAGGTTTAAGTTAGTTTTAAGTCCATATACCAGGCTAGCAATGTAAATTAATCTTTATAGCAATAGTAAAATAACTGGTAGTGTCAAAATAAATATCTTTAGCCAATAAACCGTCATTAGCATAATATAAATTTATATATATTGACCACCACCAGAGCACACCAAGTCTGTTATTTTAAGCTTATTATTTCATTTTTCAAAATGTCTACGAATACGTACCAACAAGTATTTAAATACTTTCTATAAACTCAGTACGATAACATGCACTTAAGTACCAATTCAGCAACAAAAACCCTCTACATAATTCGCCCTCTATATATAATACATCTATTACAGAGTATTTTGTTTTATGTGTTTTTGTTCATTATCTCATAGTTCTCTTTCTGATCGAATGTATGCGACAGCGAACTTTAGATAAAAGTAGAATTTAAGAATTTTATCTCGTACTTTTTGGTAGTCTCTCTACCAAGCTGGTTATTTATTATAACCCTTGTGAGTTACTCAAAAGCGCAGCACAATAACCTACTGTCATTTTATGAGATGATTTGACAGGAAAACTAACAACAAGAGTTACTTTGACAGCCGCATTTTTTCATCCCTTGTAATATTAGACGCATATCTTTTAACACGTGACAGGAAACCTTGTCAAAATGCAGCTTTATCTGCTAGACATCATCGTTGGTATACGAAATGATTTTTTTTTCTACGAAAATTGGCTTTAGCACGTTCCTATGATAGTACCGAAAGTCGATTTGAGGCGTGAACCAGCTTTCCGCGTCTGGAGATAGCTACACTTCATAACTTATTTCCATGAAAGTTATTGATTTATATCCTTTTATTAAGGATACTGTTTTTTATATCATCTTTAGCAATATGGAGTGTACAATATAATTTGAATGGTATTAGAACGATTTAGGAAAAATCAAAATTTTCTCGAATTAATTCACCACTTAGATAAATTTCGTGAAACTTTCTGCAGTCAGAGAAACTTGTTACCATTGTTTAGTTATAACTTTCTATTCACAGTAAGTCGCTGTAGTCATGACTTGTCCTATTCGTTAAGCTTTGCCATCTATAAGGAAAGATCAGAATTTTTCAACATTTTTTGACTTATCTAATCTCTGTTTTTGAATCTTTTTAGTACTATCTACAAGTCAAATGAATTGATGACTTTAAAGACGATTAACTATACCCTAGAAATTAAACCTTCTTTGTACCAAACGTGTAAAAAAAAATTGAAGTTTTTTTGTTTCTTCCCTTTTCAAATGTTGACGACCCACGTCCCGTTACACATTTTAAGCCACTTATAACAAATAATGTTTTAATTTATATTTATAACTTGTATTTATGATTTCTGGTGTTCTTAATGTTATAATTTGGTTCGGTAAATGTTTGTTCTTGAAAATGACTTGTATCTGATATATCTTGACGATAATGCGCATTGAATCAGGTTGCTTTGCTGATTTATAAACATTTTTCAACCTGAAAGTACAATATATATAGTAATGTCTCATGCCATATGTACCGATGTATAGCTTTGAGTCTGATGGTCAATACCGCTAAAAACCGGGTTTCGATACTCGTGGTGGGCACATCACAAATAGCCCATTGTGTAACGACAAACAAACGTTTTAAGCTAGACGAGTCTAGAGATTATGTTAGAGTCGCTATTTTTCTGAATAATACTTCATGTGTCTGAATGTATTAGCAGCGATGGGTGAAACATGAAATATATATATTCGTCATATATTTATAATGTATTGGGTATTCCACTAATAATTTCTCCTTTGGCTAGAAGAGTGCTTAAATAATTTAAAATTTGATTTTCTTTTTCAAGGCAAATTCTGAAACAAAGGCATCACAAACCAGACACGTTCCCGATATTTCGCTACCAAGATTAGTCTCCCATCAATATGGGTCAATATTTTAAAGTTTTCACCTCAAAATTCATTTCTCACAAGTGAACAACACCTTCAGTATACCACACAGTGTGAAATAGGATTGTGACCTACCAAATAAAATTTGAATACATGGCTAATAGATTAAAAAGCACGTGATAAAACACGCGGGAACTGAGCATGGAATAAAAGAACAGCTCGAAGTCAAAGACAACGAAATTATTTTAGCGATGAGCTAAGTACAATCTGAAAATGTTCTATGCATCCAGTTGGCCCCTGAAAAAGGTCCATCAGATTTCTTTGATTTTTATTTTTATTCCAGAAAATGTAATCAAATAATACGGAAACATTTTGGAATGCTACATAAAGTTTCACCTTCGAAAAATTATGAACTTTAAAGTAGGAAGATAGAGAAATTTTATCAGAGCTTTTATAGAGTACACAGTTCAAACACCACTCAGATTAATCTTTAAACGTGAAGGTCTTGCAAAGCCGGAATATGTACACTACAGGATTCGCCCCTCAACTTAATAATCAAATCCGTTATTGTTTTTATTTTGTTGTTTTGAAAGTCCTTTATCGAATCTTAAGATGCCCAGTAACTAACTATTTTATAATATCAAAAATATTTTTCGTTCAATGTAATTACAATCATTTTTGGTAGTTTCTGAAATTTGAATATCAAAGCTCAAAGTATTCATAGTATTGTTTCTTTGAGCAATTTAGGATTTGGCTGGATCTGATTTGGTTGGAAGTTCACGCAAAGCTAAACGAGGGCTATCTGCGCTAGCCGTCCCTAATTTAGCAGTGAAAGACTAGAGGGAAGGCAGCTAGTCATCACTACCAACCGCCAACTCTTGGGCTCCTATTTTACAAACGAATAGTGGGATTGACCGTCACATTATAACGTTTTCACGGCTAAAAGGGCAAGCATGTTTGTTGGGACGGGGATTCGAACCCGCGAATACGTGTTTTTTCAAACCATCATCGACAGGTATATATATATATATAAAGTATTTTAAGGACGACAAAGTAACGTACGTCTCTCATCACACACTCAGCTTTAAATAACATAAACATTTTGGGCAAGAAAACAGCTTAAAATTTCAAAGAAATAAACCATAATCGTATAAACATTATCTCAGTACAAGTTTTATAACCATTGTTATATTTTATACGAACTTATACGTGATATCTCAGAACAAAAAGTGTTAATACAAGATTTATGATGTATATCATGTGAGTTAAACCCAATTAATTTCGTCATCTTAACTGTAGAGTGAAAAATGAAGGTAGGACAGAACGATTTAATGGTTTGTGGGGCATCGATAGGAAATGAAACGTATAGATATCAAACATGAAATTTTCACATTTATTTGAGACAACGTTTTATACACACAACTTACAAAAAATCAAAACAAAAAACTCTGTGATTATAATTGCTAGTGATAACTATCGACATAATGTTATTGTTTCTATTAAGAAAGCTTGGCGACTGATATTTTAGTAACATACATAGATTTTTAATATGCATTGACATTATCTATTGTTCTTCTATGAAGGCTACACAAGTCATTATGAAAACACCAACTATATCAATTAAAGGTGCGAGACACCTTTAAGTTATCGAGCTAAAATGGCGAGTTACTTGAAGGTGAAATACGTGCTTAACTTACGTATATTCTTCTCCTGAACAGTTTTTATTAATTAATTTTTGTAAACAATTAATGTTTTACTAAAATGAATCCTCGTCCCTAGCATGTCTGGTTATTTGTTTCTGCATTATAGTGATACGAAGATTTCTAGAATACAATACCAGTTAGCTAAGGTTGCAAAATAATTAAATAGTACGTTTAAGTGTTAGAAATACAGATAAAAGGTTGTGTAAAAAAATTGGTTATACTTGATATTTACTATAACAGTTTGAATGTTCAATCTAAACCTATTATGTATAATTTCATGCATTTTCATTGAAAGCAACTCGACACATGAATAAATAAATATTGACTTATTATTAGTACTAAGCTATTTTTTTTTTGCTCTATGGCATAAGAGAAATAATTATATTAAGGTTTTGCTGTTTAACGGTTTAATTATCTTAAAAATGTTGGTGCTAGAACAATCACGATATTCTTCTATAAGAAACGATAAATGAAAAACAATTTTCGAAATTTTAAATTAATTCGAACAACTAGAGGCCTAACATGTCTTACAAATACGTCAAAATTGTATTTCATAAATATTCGACGTATTTTAGTATTGTTTAGTTTACAAGTGAAACATACTCACCACAAACACGTAATACCTGCTTTGCTTTTGAAAACTTAACCAATAAACTGATTATATCGATTTCAGTTAACCAATAAACTGATTATATCGATTTCAGTTAACCAATAAAGTGATTATATCGATTTCAGTTAACCAATAAAGTGATTATATCGATTTCAGTTAACCAATAAAGTGATTATACTGATTTAAGTTAACCAGTAAACTGATTCTATTGATTTCAACGACAGTAGTCGTTGACAAAATAAAGTTTCTCGTTATATATGTTGTTCTGTACACTTTTCTTATAGATGTATGCTTTTTTTTAATAAAGATGTACAACGTTTTAATGATACAAAATTAGCATGTTGATGTTTTTACTACTTATGAAATAAATTAAATTTAAGGGGATACTTAAAAATTATTACACATTAATGGATAAGATTAGACCAATCCAATTAGAAAAATATCTTTGCTTAATCTATATGATACTAAACCTTGGCTGTTCCTAAATTGATAGGGTTAATTAAATTACGTAAGAAATATCGATTTTCGTTTTGTTTTGTCTAGAAGCTTCTTTATGTAAAAGTCGATAATAAAATTTAAAAGAAAGGTACTTAAAACTTTCTGGCTAGTTTAAAATATACCGTATACTGAAGAAAATACCATTAAAGGTATGGGAACAAAACTGGAATTTATAAATAAAGATTTCAATGGCAATACGACAGGTAAGCTTGCAGTGTAAATGCTGAATAAAATAAATAATCGAAAACCCCACAGATTAATGAATTGTGTACACTATGAAATTCGTTGTGCTCATAAACCGTAACAGGTGCAACAGCAAAATGTTTTTTAATTAAGATAGATTTCACTGGTGCCATATGAACATGTAACACGGATTGAAAGAAACGGGTACCTAAGATACTTATCATCTAAACATGTTTTGGTTTCTCATCCTTAGGAGAAATTAAACTCATAAACGAACTCTGTTCTTTAATAGCTAGAGCTACCTTAGACGAAAGTTCCTATACATACATTTACTTCTGCTAATCTTTAATCACACTACCATTCAAAAACACTTTCATTATTTACTTTCGTCATTCGCTCTTCATTTCATAACATGCCTGGTTACATCTTCACTTAGCCTTTTCATCATTTGCTCTAAAGAATTCTTACTTGTATCTTTTTTTTGAGGAGTGTGTTTATTTTCTGTTAGTACACCATGTATAGTATCTCTCATTTCTGGTTCTGTTTTCATATATTCGATAGTGTCACCACTGAGGGGCGTTGTGGTAGAGATTATAATAAATTTTTCTTCCTCCAATTGTCGAACAAGTTCATCATCAATCTTATAGTTTTCGTTATCTCGTTCCTTCTCAAGTTCTTCGTTTCTTACAACTGGGGCTGTATTTTTACCCATATTATATCTCAGCCTATCTTGTTCATTCTTCATCACATCGTTTCGTGCGACTGGGAATGTCTTCTCCCCTGTGTTATAGCTTATGTCATCTTGTTCATTGTTTAACTCATCGTTTCGTACAGCTGGGATTATGATTTCGTCTATTTTATACCCCACTTCGTCATGTTCATTCTTCATCACATCGTTTTGTACAACTGAGACTGTCTTCTCCCCTGTGTTATAGCTTATTTCATCTTGCTCATCGTTTTGTACGGCTGGAATTACCCGTTCGTCTGTTTTATAGCTCACATCATGTTGTTTATTCTTCAACTCATCGTTTCGTACTGTTGGAATTGCCTGTTCATCTACCAAGTAGATTGAGTCATCTTGCTCATTTCCCAATCCTTCGTTCTGTAGGACTGGGATTGGTACTTCTTTGGTACTTCCCGATGACTTTTTAGATAAATCCTCCTGGTAATCAGCAGGAAGGTCATCAGCGGATGGAGCTACTGTTCTTAAGTTTTCGATAATATCATTTGCTGCTAGTTCCCCTTCAGCTGCCCCCTCTTCAACAGTCATATCTTTTACTTCTTCCGGATCTACGAGAAAAGTTTATTTATTATATAGTTTTGCTTCACATGTTCAAAAACATCTTTATGATATATTATCTCAAAATTGTATAAGTTGTTTGTGATAACAATGCAATTTCTTATCAAAAGTGTGAATTTCACTAAGTTCATAAGCCACGCCCATGACCCTACCGTATAATAAGAAGATATAAAAGTTTAATTATTATATTACTGACATTTTTGCATTTAAGTACTTTTGAAACTCACTATTCGTCTATAAAATAATTCTCATTAAAATGATATGATATATCGTGTCTTATCCAAAAGTAAATCAAACATTATTTAGATGATAACATTTGTAATGGTGTGAACGCCTTTTCTAAGACGGAGAAGCATTTTTATGATTAATTATACTTGTCATAAGACATTAGTATTATGCCTATTATATTTTAAATACTACGTTCTTTGTTCAGTCTCTTAGGATTTTTCACAAATATGATTTGTTTGTTTGTAATTAAGCACAAAGCTACACAATGGACTATCTGAGCTCTGCCCACCACGGGTATCGAAATCCGGATTCTAGCGTTGTAAGTCCGCAGACATACTGCTGTGCCACTGCGGGGTACGAAGATGAAGAACGTATAATAGTATTTCAACCACATCTATTGCGTTTTGCTCAATGCAGAACTCAACAGGCCACTTGTGACAAGTATAGTTAATTATAATCACGCTTCTCCATCTTATTGTAACAAATGTTTTATATAAATATGTAACGAATTTGTTATGCATTTATTTTAATACGAACGTTGTGAAGATTAAGTTTATATTTAAAAACATGCATATCTTGTAGTGTTAGATATGTATTGCGAAACTCCCGCCTATTCTCTAAAGTTGTATAAGATCCTCGAGAATGAGAATCAACAATATATCTATATACGTAAACATTTAAATATACCCCAGTATTGTTATGTAATCTGAATTTTCTAGAAAACCTTCCCACGCCTATCAATACAACCAACGCGACGTGCCTAAAAGAGCGTGTCTATTAGTAGTTCGCTGTAATCAGTGTGCTATAAACTTCGAAAGCTATAAGTGTGATTTTTATAATGCTTATCAATCGGAAAGCTTTAGTTATCTAACCAGGAATATTCTCATCGGATATTAGCATTTTTACAAAAACATTACCTAACTTCAACGGATCAAAAATTCAGCGTGTGTGGCAAAGGACAAAGCTAGCTAGCTTCCCAGCGAATCGTATCTTGAAAATAACTCGCTCATCGTGAATCTTCGATAAGATATCATTGAGGTTCCAGACTAGAAAGAAAACCTTATATTGTTTGGAAGTTTGTGAAACTTCTGTTTATAAATCTTTGTTTGTAATTACTATTTGTAATAATTGTTATTATAAATTGTATTGTTGTGAGCATATTATAACGTATTTGTGTTAAAAATGAAAACCGTGTGTATCAATCTTGTTGGCAAATATCATAAACTGACTATATATCGGTATATATATATATATATATTTAAATACTAAATCCAAAGTACAATTTTAACTACTAAATTTAAATTATCAGTTAACTCGGCTTCAGACTATTCGAAATTCTAATACGTAATAAATAGTATTTCGACCACTACTGCGTTTGTTTTATTCCAGCCGGCCTGAGGAGCTGTGCATTGAGCGAAACGTGTAGTCAACAATGGATGTGGCGAACATGGTTGAGATACTATTATACACTCTTCCTCTTGGAAAACCCTAAGGGACCGAATAAATAATGTATTGTTAAAATTATAATAAGCTTAATACTAATGTCGTATGACACGTGTAATTGATTATTTTGGATGCTTAGGGCGAAGAATTCAGTTAGACTGAAAGCACGAAGACAGCAAATAACCCTACTATTTTAACCGAATCAAAGCTTCATGCCAAATTTCTCAAAGTTACAGCAATAAACATTGTATATTAATTGCAAATATTTGTATTTTTTAACAATGAATTGTGTTATCCTTATGTGTTAAAGTTGCTTAAATATTTTAACCGACAACTTAACAAAAGTGCAATGTATAAAGTATGCAAAAATGCTTAACGTTTCTAGAGAAAGTCATTAATGTTTCAAAACTTACCTCATAAATTATTCGGAAAATATGTTCAGAGATAACAGCACAACATCCACGACACGTGATAAAATTTAATTAAACAATACAATAACGAAGATAAACTAAGTTAGTTAAATAATTAATCGCTACAGTTTTTACACCAACCAAAACAAAAAAGGAAATATTATTTGAAAACTAAAATATTGTTTAATTAGTATTCTTCACTTTTTCCTTTTTTCCAGAAAAAATAATATAACACTTGTCTTCGAGAAATTAGGAAAAGTAACATGTCAAAATTTAGTAAAACAGTGAAATTTATATAAGAAAAACATAAAATCTATTTAACTTCCATATATAAGCCACGAACATGCTACATCCTAGACCCACTTTACACTTTCCAATATTTACATGGTTCAGCAATGGAGAATTTTCCGATTATATTCCACTTATGGAATATTATATTATAATATTAAATAATTTGTTGGTATTCGATTCACCATTTGTAAGTAAAATAAAGCTTTGGATTAATCTGTTTTCATTATTATCATATCTTATGTTAGCTCATTAGACAATGCCAAGCTATGCTGATGAAGTTTTATTTATAATATTCGAGTATATTCATATGAATGGTATTTTCCCAGTGTGTTCTTACACTACAGAGAATCAAATGACAGGTTGCAAAATGCATCTTGGGCTGAATTCTCCAAAATCATTCTGACAAAGAGTGTGAGCTACAGAAAAATAATATAGTTCATGTCGCTAGCCATCAATTCAGTGACTGGAAATAAAGAAAAAGCAACCAGAAATATTCCAGACAGCAGTGATCTCAGTGATATACTATCTATCATCCGAGCTCCTGTAGTGTAGCGCTGTACACTGTAGTACAGTGTTGAGGTAAGACATTCCAGACAGCAGTGATCTCAGTGATATACTACCTATCATCCGAGCTCCTGTAGTGTAGCGTTGTACACTGTAGTACAGTGTTGAGGTAAGACATTCCAGACAGCAGTGGTCTCAGTGATATACTACCTATCATCCGAGCGCCTGTAGTGTAGCACATTGTACTGTTGTACAATGTTGAGGTAAGACATTCGAAACATCATTCATCTCAATACAATTACTGAAGTATAATTTAGGAGTTCAAAAGGAAAGTGGAATAACTATGATAGAGTTCGAAAAACTGTAATGATAATTTTTCTTATGGTTTGTTTTACAGAAAAGACACAAAAGGAAAGAATTAATGTAAACTAACCGTCCAAATATTCCTGATCTCGCTTCAGTATTGTTAATACATCTTCTTTGGCTCCTCCAAGTTTCTCCAACAAATGGATCTAAAGTGTATGTTAACAATAAATGAATGCCTCAGCAATCTCAAATGAAATTTAAAGTGATAAGATAAGTAAACACTAATGGATTAACCAAGCATGGCGAGGATTCTAATAATTACTACGCAGCTTTTGGAATATACATACAATTACTAACTTTTAAAGTTACAATGAAGAACTAGATTAATGTGCTTTTATTACGAAGGAATGTAGATCTATTACTTAGAACGCACGAAGGCACAAAAGAAAGAACATAAATAAGGATAAACATTGGATAGTTAATTTTGTTAATTCAGCATCGTAAAATGTAATTTATATAACCTATATAAGCCACTCGTTCATCACTAGTTCCTGAAACTTTGCTTATGCTGGTAGTGTTTCTAATGAAAACTGGAGAGAAAGAGTTCGGTGGATACCTTTTACTAACTAATAATACTTTACACGACATCTTGTCAAGCGGAATTGGTTTTCACCAGTAAAGATCAGTGTTTGTTTTTGACTGATATATTGCAAAGTTTTGAACCTATGGATTACTATTCGTACAAAGATATTAGATAACGAATGGGCTAGTTTATTGTACTCAGTTTGAAATGGATGTGGCCTCAAATATAACTTTCCGTGCGTTGAAAACTATTAGAAGTAGAAAATCATTAATTCTTATATATATGTTTATGCCTAAAACATATTGTTATTCTACTTAAAATATATTTTATAATATCTGCACATGCAATATACGAGAACATAGCAATTAGGTAATCATTTCTCATTTTTTCAAAAGTATATCCTTATTGTTTTTAAAGTTATTGTTTAAACTCCGAAAGCCTGCGAAATATTGGAAAACCAATATTATAAAATCAACTCAACTACAAATGTGTTTTTTTTTCAAATTCCTTTTAAGAGTAACGAGGAGAAAAATAAATGTTCAGTTAAGTTGTCCTTATTTTTTCTTTGTTTTAGAATTTTCTCGCAAAGTTGCACAACAGCTAACTGTGCACAACCATCTCTTATTGTGAACTGATAATATATATATATATATATATAGAAGGAAAAGAGTTATTAAATAGCCCCCACCGCTAAATATTGGCTACTCTTCTCTGACCGAACAGTGAGATTTGACTGTCACTCTTATAGCGCACTCACAGCCCTAAAGTGCGGAGTGCGTATGTGCAGCAAAGGGGACGCAGGCCTTGAACCACTCTCTGCCCATATATTTTTAAACCCAGCCCTTAGATATCGCCACCTGTTTGTCAAAATATAATCCAACTGGAATAGACCCGAAAAGCGTTTGCTGTCAACTTAGTATCTTTATTGCAACAGCATTTCTTTAAGTACAAGATTTGTAGAACAATACAAAGGAAATGTAATCGTAGACACTAAAATGTGTAAGTCCACTTGTAGTTAGGTGGTACTTTATAAAACCTTAACTAATGTTAGGCTTATGTTCGATAAAGAGATGTTATAGTACTAAATGGTTTATAAAGAATATTTACATCCAACTTTTATTCCTTCATTGATAGAGCAGTCGTAGTGACTTGTTCCTTGAGATTTCCAGCACTCTGGCGCAGGAAGGCGCTTGCACTGTTTTTCTGGTTAAAATGTTTACTGTGCATGCTTATAAGGCGTACCGACAGCAGAGTTATAGTATGACAAAATTTCGGCGTTCTGCGATTAGAATTATTTTGTATTATTCTGTAAATCCTGTATTTAAAGAAGTACTATTGCAATAAAGACACTAATCTGAGCGCAAATGTCTAACGCGTCTCTGCTAGTCTATTATAATAATACTCAGTTTTTATCTGTCATGATAATGCGTGCTCACTTTACTATCTAAAGACGCATGAGCGTACACGTCATTTCCGTAATAGACACATGATCAAGCGTATTATTATATAGATAACAAAGGAGAGAGTGCGGAAGCTTAAACTATATACATCTATTAACACTGACTTGAGAGGAGGATTGGGAGGAAACTCTTTGTTTTTAACCAACAGTGCCTAACACGAAAGAGTATTTAGTAGCTAATCCAGTAGAAATGGTAATAATATATATTTCTGAGAAAACAACAATATAAACAAAACAGGGGACTATCATCAAAGCTAGTGGCTATCTAGACCTAAAATATTTTCAAACGATCGTCTGCATAACTTGAAAATGTATGATATTAATTAACGGACAGTTATTTTCTCATTTTCATATAAATATAATTTTAATTATTAGTGCAGGACTACTACAATATTTATTAGACCTTATTTCTATAGTAACTACATACATATATATGACCTTTACATCCAGAATATAATTTTGTATTATTCACTCTTTCACCTTGAGTATTCTTCGGGAGTTTTTATCCTATTCGTAAGACAATTGTGTTGTATTCTGGACCTGAAGGGCATGACATTTACCCTAGAATACAATTTTGTATTACTCACTATTTCATCTTATGAATTATTCTGAAGTTTTCGTCCTGTCCATAAGACAATTGTGTTGTATTCTGGACCTGAAGGGCATGACATTTACCCTACAATACAATTTTGTATTACTCACTATTTCATCTTATGAATTATTCTGAAGTTTTCGTCCTGTTCATAAGACAATTGTGTTGTATTCTGGACCTGAAGGGCATGACATTTACCCTAGAATACAATTTTGTATTACTCACTATTTCATCTTATGAATTATTCTGAAGTTTTCGTCCTGTTCATAAGACAATTGAGTAATGATATTGTATCCTGTATTACTGTAGAAACTGTGGCCAAACCGTTTTACGAATTTTTCAACTGAGATATAAAACTTTAATGATTGGATGATTCAGTTTCAATTCTAGTTAGTAACTATAGTTTTTGCTTTTAGTGGCACGTGGTTACCATATCTTTGTTAACATTGTATGATTATGGATAAAAAAATATCAATCAGTATTTTTTAATATTGTTGTATAATTGGTTGTTCGAAAGACTGGCAAATGTATATTTACATTCGCGAGGGAAATTACAAACAAATGTTAAAGTTTACTGTGTATACGGTAATATCTTACTTGCTATCCGCATGAACAAAACGACCTGAGGTGTAAGTTATGCGTCTAAAGCAGTTGTATTACAATTAATCAACTTTTAAAGTGCAATCTACCCTTACTAGGCCTAAACTAATATGATAACATTATAATGCAGCTCTGAAGCCTTATAATTGTATAGATTGTGCTTGAAACATTAAAAAAGTAATTAGAAACATAGCATTTTAAATACATTTATGTAAATATACATAAATATCGTGAACATGTCACAAGACGGGTATTTATAATTAAAAAAAGCCAATTAAATAGACATTAGTGCATATATATATATATATATGTCTAGTTACAATAGAATTTACAATAGACTCTAGCTACACGTCCAGCGAGTTGTTTGTGCTTCTGTCTTTCCATCTACATGAGCTTATTTTCCTTTTTTGTACATCTTTTCAAGAATATTTGTATGTGTTCTCTTTACTTTTCACTATACATCTATCTAGATGTTTCTTTACATTTCTCTCATTTCATAATCCTGGTTGTTTACACTGCAGGAAATAATGCCATTTTCGCTCATCCTTACGGTCAACTTTGTGGTGTTCGTTTGAAGGAGTAAGTCAGGGTGTGCTTGGGAAATAGCTGTAGATGTTGACTTGAAGGCACAGTAGATACTACCGTCCTGCTAAGCCCAATCTGATCGATAAAAGTTAATGTTAAACGCACGTAGAGATAGTTGTAGATATACAGAAAACTGTTCAGGGAAAAAAAAACTAAACTTAAGTCAGAAATAATCTGAAATTGCTAGAGATGAAGTAAGCACAACGACAACCTTTACATGGACGATTAAGATCCAGTACTGTGTGAGTTTTTAATTAAACCCGTATGATTAAAATACATTTTGTTTAAACATAAGAATGAATTGATTGCATTACACTCTCCTAATACCGACACAGCAGTTATGCGTCACAGGTCTTTTCTTGTTGATGCTGATGAACATTTCTGTCTATCTATCATGTACTACATAAGTTACTGAGCAGAAAACATGGGCACAAGTACCGTTGACATTTTATTGACACTAATGTTTATACATAGTTATTTCAAGCTGAAGTTGAGTTGTTTTCCTAACTATAAGAAAATCAATTTTAATTTATTCCAGTCTAAACAACGGGTAGAAGAAACAGCGATCTCAATTACTGCATTATTTAAGACCGCCTTTATGTTTTAACTGGTATATAGTCCTAATTGGAAAACACGAGTGATGTACACAACTTACTTAAATACACAGTCAGACTTTACGGATGGTTATTTTTAACATGTTAAGCCATTACTTGTTTTAACGTTATTCGTTAACTTACCTTCTTTAAAATTTGTTTGAGGAGTTTTTTACGAAGAGCCAACTAAAAGAGAAAAAAACATTTCAAAAGACACAGATGTAAAAGAAAACAATAATGACACATGAAAATGAATTACAAGTTGTATCATATTAACAATGCTATCATATTTTGTATCAAAATACCAATCTAGATATTTGGTTCTACACTTTCAAGTTGCTTTACAGAACAGCCATCATATGATCATTAAGTTTGTCCAATAACGTTTCTGTAGATGCATGGTAACTGGCTACTAGAACCATATTAAAATGACACTTTTTTCTATTGATATGAATGAAGCACTTAAACAATGAATACATATTAATTGAACCAGAAAACGGTCTGCCTTCCAAAAGTATTCGGATTATCGAGAATCCTTATTTTTGATTTATGCATATGTTTTTACTCTATATATTTTCTAGGTATCACGAACATATTTCAACAAGAACAGTTTCATTTTAACTTTAAATTTCGTCTTTTATTTTTACGAAACTAAAACCATAAAGTATTCATGTAATGATTTTAGAGATAAATAATTTCAAAAATGTCAAAAACATTTTTTTATTGATAATTTAAATTGTTTAACACAAGAATCTATTAAAATTTATTATAAAACACAAAAGTGAAAAAAGGAAAAACAACTAGAACTCTAAACCATTTCGAAATGAAATTCGTTTCAGTTTATGGATGTATGAAAATGCATTATTACTTATTATTATTATCATCATATATCATTATTACTTATTATCATCATCATATATCATTATTACTTATTATCATCATCATATATCATTATTACTTATTATTATAATCATATATCATTATTACTTATTATTATCATCATATATCATTATTACTTATTATTATAATCCTATATCATTATTACTTATTATTATAATCATATATCATTATTACTTATTATTATCATCATATATCATTATTACTTATTATTATAATCATATATCATTATTACTTATTATTATCATCATATATCATTATTACTTATTATTATCATCATATATCATTATTACTTATTATTATTATCATCGTATATCATTATTACTTATTATTATCATCATATATCATTATTACTTATTATTATTATCATTACGTCAATATTATTTAGTTTTACTACCTATTGTATACTATTAATTAGTTATCATTAACTTATTGTACAAACTAAATTGCATTATTAAAATTATTGATTAGTATACTTTTACTTTAAAGTTAAATACATAGGCATGTAATATATACTAGGAGATACCTCGTGTTTTGCGTACGAAACATTTTTTTTGGTGTGGTATTTTGTATTTGATTACACAAAATTTATAAAATGTAAAGGTAGTGTTATGTATTTAGAGTAGTTAAAACGGTTAATTGATTTTCCTAGGCTATTCATGTATGAGGTTAGGTTCGTCAAATTCTGAATAAATCTGACGGCCGTGCGGGATGTCTCACTGACTGTGAGGTTAAATATAAATGGGTTAAACCTATTCCACAACACGTGATACTCATCAACTTGTCTAGTAAGAGACACCAGATGTAGCGACACTTTTAAAACCTGGTTTTTGGTGGCAAGTATTAAAATTCAACATGGTGACCGTACAGGTACTCTAGGTGTCAATATACAAATGAAGAAATTCACACATAAAAAACCACGCATAAACATTATTGTCTGAGATGGTGCTCTAAGGGATGACAGATACATTCCCCAAATACCCTCCCTTTTGCAATGCATAGTACTATCTACATCCACCCCTCTCTTAAGCATATGGAGACGTCATCTGTACTTCCCTACTCCTAATTTCATTTTTTGTATAGCTTAATGGAGATCAAAAAGCTTCCCACACACGTTACTCTTATAATTGTATAGATAAACGAAGATTAAAAACTATTTGATTTTCCTACCTTTGGTAGTGAGTTTTGATTTCCAATGTTCGTCGATAGAGCAGGGGTTGGTGAAGACGCAACTGCAGCTTTGATAGCTGGCTCTTGCAGAGGGACTTGTGAAGTTACAGGACTATTGCTGAAAGTCATTTTGGAGTTTATTGGCTGACTATGAAGTTGCTGGACTAACTCGTCATTCTCCGCCATGGATTTCAAAAGTTTTGGTGCCTCGTTGATGGAATGGATTTTTTTTTGTGAAATGTCATCGTTGTAACCTCCAGGAAGATCATTGTGTCGAGTCCAGATAGCGCTGTGAGGTGGGGGTTGTACAACGTAATCTTTCTGAAAAAATAAATTAGGCTTATGCCGAGGAGTGGATGATTGTTCCATCTCAGCAGCCAGACGCCCTAAACGGTGGACGTAAGCTTCCAGCCACTGTTTTTCTTTGATATCTTTTGCCCGATGTAACATACCCAGGGCTTCTGTCAGGAGTGACGAAGTTTTTTTGGTAAATACTAGGGGGTAGTTTTTCTGGAAATCATCAAGCGTTCCAGGTTGTAATTTGCCCTTTAACAGAAAGGAATTGGTAAATACATTTCATACCTCACAAAATTTTGTTGTGGTAATGAAATTACTTTTATATAGTCCGATACAGTGGACAGTAATTAAAAATAAACATGTCAGAAATCAAAGAAGTAACTAGTTTGCATAACAAGTTGATAAATAATTTTATAATTATGAAGAAAACAATGATGAACTAGCTTTATGATGACTTAAACAGGTAAGAGGAAACAAGAAATTCCCTTGAAGGAAAATAAGTGATAGTTAAATGGCAAAGCAGACAACTAAAAAGTTTAATTTGCTATTTGTGTCTAACCATTGTTTGATTTAAACGAAATCTAGAACAACAAACAGAAATGTTAGTTGTTTTCAATCGTGTTTTTAATTGCATTTGAAACCTGCAATTAAATAAAAAATTATGATCTGATTCTGTATTAGTTGAACTAAAACAGGAAATAAAGTAATTTCGTAATCGTAATCTACTTAACTAATATAAGAAGCTCACGAGATATAGTTAGGTAAATGAAGTAGTGCTGTTACATTTTAAGGTATGGAACTAAGAGATTCGGTTATATTCGTAACGATACACACCCTTGAAGTAATTGGTGATTTAAGGGATTTAGGTAAATGAAGTGACGTTGAGATATTCTGTTGGAGTAGCCTAGGAAAATTAAGAATTTTGGGTATATAAAATCTGTCACTGTAGTATATCCCTTGAACTAATTTAGGAAATTAACTGATTAAGAAGTTTAAGTGATTTAGTGCATAAAGGACGTAGGTTTGGTACTTTCTGTTGAATTAATGTAAGGAAATTAAAGGCTTTGGATATGTAAATAACTCTTTATGGTTGCCCCTGAACAAGTAAATAACTTTAAGGGATTTAGTTACATAAAAAAAATAGTTATGACTATAATGTCTTTTTTTAAGCGAGTCTAATTAAAGGAATAAAATGATTTCTGGCGAACCACAGCATTGTGTGTGTGTGTCATAGATTGTTCCAAGGACGTACTGCTCGAAAAATAATACTATTTCCCCGAAGAACATAAAAGTTGTTTTCTGTTTCATAGAAAATTGAGTTTAGTTTATGTTAGAAAAACATCACAATCGTTTTTAAAAAAGCAAGAATCTGGACATTTTGACAAGGATTTGAATGTCTTTCTGAAGAATGCTCTTTTCTTCTGACGGTACCCACATTTCCCTGCTATTCAACTGGGTTGTAGTTCGGTTTTTACAGTATTTCTGCTGTTAGTATCCAAACCACGACACTTAGCTAAAACAATTGAATTTGTTAATAAAGCAAGGGTTTTCTCTACTTTTAAAACAACTTAGAACAGTCTTGCTAAAACAATTCGAGCTATTTGATACTGTATGTAACTAGATTAATTACCATGAAGGTAATGTTTTATGACTTAAGAAAAATCTTTTTGTGGCGTGAACGTTTTTTTACAGTTTTCTTTTCCAGTTTATTCAGAATTCGATATCTTTCACGAATTTTTATAAACTTACCTCATTACTTCCAGCAACATTTCCTTCATTACAAACTAACCTTATTACTTCCAGCAACATTTCCTTCATTACAAACTTACCTTATTACTTCCAGAAACATTTCCTTCATTACAAACTTACCTTATTACTTCCAGAAACATTTCCTTCATTACAAACTAACCTTATTACTTCCAGCAACATTTCCTTCATTACAAACTTACCTTATTACTTCCAGAAACATTTCCTTCATTACAAACTTACCTTGTTACTTCCAAAAACATTTCCTTCATTACAAACTAACCTTATTACTTCCAGCAACATTTCCTTCATTACAAACTTACATTATTGCTTCCAGGAACATTTCCTTCATTACAAACTTACCTTATTACTTCCAGCAACATTTCCTTCATTACCAGAGATCCCTAGAATGGCCGAAGAAACGTCTATTATTATTATTTCAATGCAATGTTTATTGATACTGAATACAACTATTTAATCTTAATTCTAAGTTAATAATATGTCTCTGTCATCAATAGGATTACGATAAAAACATATCAACAAAGAAGTAAGCATACGGTATAATAACACAGGCCTGCGAGTTTAAACTTCATAAAAGTTGTTTTGGCTTTAATAACGGATTTTCCATAATTCAGCTATGCAGACTTGGAAAATAATATTCATTTTTTTCTATCCCATAAAGATTTTTTAAAATCGGGAAGAAAAAAACTCTTACTTAGGTCAAATTATTATTTCATTTACCACAATGAACATTTTTTATTGTTATGTTTGTTAACAAAAATACAAACAAACTGAATAAAAGGGAAGAAGATTGATGTCAAACGAATATACATCCTCATTCATCTTAATATTTTTTGTGAAATCTAGGTCTTTTAGTCTCAAAACCACGTGTTGTGGTATTTCTTTTATATATTGCGTTATGACATTTTGTGAAAAATCTGCACGTGATGGAGTAAAATGGATATCATTCTTATATTCAGCGTACAGGAATTAGTGTAGAACATGTAAATATATGAAGACAATAAAACCATTGTAAGCCTGTGTAATTGGTAGTACACATTTTACCCGTTTATCATGTGACAAACGTTTTCAATTTTTTAAACAACACCAGGACTAATAATATAAATCTATCTATCTAATATGATAGATAATTAAAATCCTAAAAAAGCAGATTTTATTAAATCATTTTCATTTCTTCATTAAGATTTATTATTTTAAAACTACAACATGGACGTCATTTGGAAAAGTGATTAAAGAAAAATTCGATTCACCCATGACAACATGCATGACCAGAAGTGTAAGTAAATCACAATTATTATTTTCGTTATAGGGTAATTCCATAATTACAGTGTACGCTCAAATAATCCAGAAGATAGAGAAGATACAAAAACAGATATCAGCTAAAGTTATCATTGTTCATATAGGCTAAAGCTAGATAATTATTTCCTGTCTTTAATATAATGACGTCCAGGGTCATGTGATACTAATTGAAAACAAAATGCCACAGGTGAAAGCTCACTAAAGCGACTGCGGTATTAGCTTCATAGATCACGGTTGAACCACAAGTTAATGGCCAATGTTGTAATAAATTTCTACTTTGTCGGTAGAGGCCATAACAACCAGTGTGCAGTGTTTAATTTTTCGTTGGAGAGAGTAGAGATAAGAGGCGCAGACACAAAGTAAACAACTGTATTTTTAGCTGTCCTTTAAACATTTTAGGCAAACAATATCATACTTAAAAGGTCAACTTTCATTTTTGAAAATAACATTTAAAACTTCAAACCTGAAGAGGATATTTTGAAAATGTTGGATTATTTTTATTCTTATTTAATCTTAGACAGATAGCAAATACACAAAACAGATAAGCAGTTATACGATGGGTTTACCAGATACTCTTAGAATATAATAGAAATTTCCTGTTTTCTTTGAATTCAATTAGCTGTTATTGTTCCGCCATTAAAAATAGTTATGATAATTGTATGGTTTACATACTTTAACTACAACAACAACAAAAATAATGAAAGTTTACAAAGATTATTCTTAGATTATTCACACATTTCTAGACGCCTTTGTACGTTTTTTAAACAAATTTATTTGGACTACTTTGCAATGTATTGAAAGAAAAATAATAAGGGATAATAGAAGCAGGTTTAAGTTACTATTCAATGACGTAAAACAAGGTATTCGATTTAATTAGAGTAGTTATTGATGTTGAAGTTATAGAGAACATGTATTTAAAAGTTTTCACGGTTTAAAACAAAACCTAAAGGACGAATAGAATGAAGCAAACAAAGGGGATATCTTCTTTTTTTAGTGGTATAAAATTTGAGATAAACTTATTGTTTTCTTCAATTTAGTTTTTCTATAGCAGTTGCTTTTCAATCCACTATAGAAAGGTGCAAAAATATTTCAATAAAATGTATTATTTATTTGACTTTTGTTTTTGTTTGCAATAATTTAGATTATTTTATCTTTATTTGAAATTGGGTGGGAAGAATTATACCTGTTCCAAATAAATAGTTGTGAATATTTCATATAGTTAGTTATTTATATTTCATACAATTAGGTATTCGAATTTCGTGCGGTTAGTTATTTGTTAGTTTAATTTAAGTTGGTAAAACCTAAAAAAAGCTATTCACAATTGTACTTTCTAAAAGGACTGAAAACGATTGTTTTTTATGTGTTTCTGTGTTTAATAATTAATGTAAAAAACAGCACTAAAAACAGTTTAAAATCTTACTTATAATATTTTAGACTGTTTTTATCCATTAAACGTGTACTGATCACGAACATACATTAGAGCAAACTCAAGTTATATTTCATTTAGCTTACTTTAGGGTTTACAGCGCTAAAATTTGTGGGTTCAATCCTTGCGGTAGTAACAGGAAAATAATCCATTGTACAGTTTTGTGCTCAACAACAAAGAAGTCATTCACTTTATATTTCTCTATTACTTATAAAAGACCCCTTTTTGAATTTAAAAAATACCTTAGTTTGTGTAGATTTGGTGTTTTGATTGTTTCCTATAAACTGAACTATTAATCTATCCATCCATGAGTTTATAGAAAGACCACCGTACTGACATATTTAGTTTCTATCATATAGAGAAAGACCACCGTACTGACATATTTAGTTTCTATCATATAGAGAAAGACCACCGTACTGACATATTTAGTTTCTATCATATAGAGAAAGACCACCGTACTGACATATTTAGTTTCTATCATATAGAGAAAGACCACCGTACTGACATATTTAGTTTCTATCATATAGAGAAAGACTACCGTACTGACATATAATTCATTTCGCAGCTGTTTCTAACAGCATGTTTATATTGCAAGACGTGTAAGTGGCAACATTTTGCATGCATCATAAATTCAACTTGAATACCTTAAAGCTATCTTCACTGCATAAGAGGATTACTCATCAAGAAAAAAACACACACAAGAAAACACCAATCCACAACCTCGTTATGTGCTTAACAATGGCAGTGTAAGGGCTACAGCGCAAGAGGTGAAGATGACATTTCAACATAAACACTTTAAGATATACCAAAAGTGCCAGAAATGTAGTATTATAGTAAATGATAAATGGTCAAGTCCATGGTGAAAGTAAAAAAAACAAAAACATATATATTATAACTTTATAAACTATACAATATGCTTGTAACAAAACGATTTCTATGATAACACTTTTAGATTGAACGTGACCCAATGGTTAGCGTGCCTAAATATGACACATTAATGGTACTCATCCACCATTCACATCCCGTTACCGAAAAACAAATTAGAAAACTCGCGCTCTGCACTGTGGCATCGTGAGTAACTTATATGGATGAAGTTCAAATCTAAATATTCGGTCAAACAAGAGCAGTCAAAGAGTTAGTGGTAGGTATTGCTGACTAGTTGCCTTCCCCCTAGTCTATCAGTTCAAAATTAGGTACTACTAACGCAGATAGCCTTGTGTAGATTTGGGCTAAAAATCTGAAAACAAACAAACAAATAATAATACTGTTCAAAGTGACTTATATAAAGAGATGAACTGCCTAAAGTCTCCCAGTGGCATAGCGGTATGTCTGTGGACTTACAAACAAACAAGATTACATTTTATTCTCAAGTTTTTGAATAAAAACTTATCATAATATACATGTTGTAAGAACATTATCTAAAACAGACCTTGGTAATACGACTAGCTTTTCCTGAAAAGTCTACAAAGTATGTATCAATTATTTACGTAGAAACTGAGCAGTCTATGGCAGGTTATATCAGCAATTCCTGAACACGTTATGACCAAGTGAAAGATCGAAGACTTTATTAACATCGGTAGTGTGTCACATTATCTTGAAGTGTAGAACCCGTTGAATGTATTACTGTAGTGTGTCACATTATCTTGA